TTTTGTCATAATTTATCTAGAGAGCTATTGGTGAGGATATGAATCCTCAGGTTGGTATAAGTGACGTACACAAATGTGCATATATGTCCTCCAACTGAAATGGAATCTTTCTCAAAGACTTTATAAAGTCTTGTATATGTAACCACCAAATTTCAAAATAAGACTTCCAAGGAATGGACGTACACCCATGCGAATGGTGCAAAGACCCAATTGGATCATATCCTGATAAATAAGAAGTAGAAGAAAAGTTCAATGAATTGCCAAGCATTCAACAAATTTGAAAGAGTATCTTCAAACCACTGGATTGTCTCTTCCACCATCCAACTTAGAGCCAATAAAAAAAGCAGTCCCACCAGAAGACTGGTCATAGAAGAAAACCAACAAATAAATTCAAGTTAAAGGCCAATAGTCAGGCTGAAAGTCTATTTTAAAAATCTATTGGGAAATTCACCTGATATTTTAGATACTGAGGTTGAACAAATTATTGAACATCCTCTTGACATTAAACCTGGAAACTTTACAGATGCAGTACTTGAAATGGCTTTAAAAAAAAAAAAAAAAAAAAAAACTAAAAATTGGAAAGCAACAGAACTTGATAACATTCCTTCAGAGGTTTGGAAGACCCAGAACTCTCTAATACCACATATGATGGAGAAATCATAGAAAGGTGAACAGAAGGTTGCATACTTCCTCTTCCCATAGAAAGGAAATCTAGGATCAGTAAAAGGTTTTAGAGGAATCACACTTACTCCATTGCATCAAAAATTTACAACTCGATGTTTCTCAATAGAATACAAACTGAAGTAGAGAAGGTGCCCCGAAAAAATCAAAATGACTTTCGAAAAAATAGAACAAACTGTTGGACAAATGCTGACTACTCAGCAAACTATTGATGGTGTTAGGGCAAAAAAATCTACAGGCTGCTTTACTTTTCATAGATTTCTCTAAAGCCTTCATTTCTGTACATAGGGAAAAAATGGAGAAGATACAATCTTTTTTTTTTATATAAAAGCTGAGGTCCTTCAGGGTGACACCATTGCACCTTTTCTCATTGTTATCACCTTTGATTGTCTCTTGGGAACTTCCTTCAATGAACATCATCTAAATATTGACTATGCAGATGACCTAGCTATCACTGCAGACACCATTACCATTGCCACAGTTCTCCAAGATCATGATGTCAATGCCTTTAAAATTGAATTCATCAACTTCAACCAGCAAGACTCAATAAAATGTGTCTCAGGTGAATCAATAAAATCTGTTGAATCTTTTACATACCTAGGAAGTGAAATAGACTCTACTGAAAAAAATGAGAAAATTCACCTGGCTAAAGCCTGGGCTGCTTTGAATAAAAATGAATGTAATCTGGAAATATGATCTACCAGACAACCTCAAGTGGAAATTTTTTTGCACCACTGTGGAGGTGATTTTAATGTATGGTACCAATGCTTGGACATTAAGTAAAACCCTACAGTCAAAACTTGATGGAACCTACACCCAGATACTGAGAGCTCGACATAACATCTCTTGGAGACATCCAACTAAATCACAGCTCAATGGACCCAGCCTTGATATTTTTACAATCCTATGTGAACCTCAGAATGCACTTTGCAGGACACTGCTGGTGAGCAAAATAAGAACTCACAAGTTATTTATTTTTCTGGACACCTAGCAAGTTGGGATGGTCACCCAGCAACCACCTACATTGTACAGCTATATTATGACACAGAATGCCAACCTAATGACCTTTGATGCAGGACCATGATGGTTGGTGTGATAGACTCATGTCTGATCTAGCTCAACCAAATAATATATAAGTTTATAGAAAAGGCACGAGGAAGCTAATTACAGCAGTGGAAAAGTGAATGAAGCCAGGTTAGGGCTTGCTTTCAAAATCTGAGTAAAGAAAATGTTTAACTAGAAATAACCCTAATCTGTCAAACAACTGGAGACCATAATTACAATAATTCTTAACCTATGAAGTTAAATGGCATGTGATAAAGAGAGCTCTCATTTTTTTGTATCAAGAATGACAGATATTAATCCAAAAAAATTCTCTTTCTGTTGTGTCGGAAACCTACCACCCCTCTTGAAGATGAACTTGTCTGCGTCTGTGAACAAAGACTTTAAATAGTGGCATGTCAGTTGACATGGGGGAAAACAGATAGAGAAGTTCTTAGCTGAGCTAGTTATTGACTACTCAGGCGATTTCTGTACCTTTTTACCAACCTATTAAAACCCTTTTTATTGTTACGTGTTATTTGGCGTTTGTCTCTACTAACCCCAAATCAACATCATAACACTTTCTTAATAGTAATTATCATTATGTAGTTCGTTTTTTTTTAAAGTTATTTTTTGGGCCACATTCAGTTGTTTTAGTTTTTTTTGTTTTGTTTTTGCACTTCAAGTTATATTGACTCCATTTTGGCTCCATACATTTGCCTTTGTCTCTTTTTTCTTGTTTCAAAACAGAGCGTCAAGACAATGTTTTAAATCTTGTAGTTTCTCCCAATATGCAATAAATCAAATTTCTTAAAGCAAGCCATAAACTGCAGCAACAAATCAAGTAGTGATCATCCACGTCAACAAAATAAGATAAAACTAGAGTAACATCAGCAAGTTGCCTGCATTAACATGCTGCAAGTGCAAATCATTTCACTTTACAAAAATTCAGTCATCAAGCGTGAAGTTGGTAAAATAAAAAAGTGAAAATTGGGAGTTACTTAATAACATTACAAGCTGTAATCTATTTTAGCTAAAAATGATGGCCAGCAAATTTGACAAAGTGAATTAAGGAGTTCTGCAAATCAGTGTCTGGTCCTTTCATTGTTGAAGGAGTTGAAAAAGTGAATATAGTGTGCAGAGTAAAAAAACAAATTGAGCAGGTTCTGATGGGGAGATCAGTAGATGCTATCAACAGTAGCTGAGCAGAGAAGATGTCCAAATTGGATAAAGAATTCTTTATTGCAACAGATTCATTTGGGAGGTACAAGCAATTTGTATCACTGTGTCAGCCTCTAAACAAGTTCATGGATATACATCTGACAGAACTGCAAAAATTAACAGTGCTATTTGGAAGCATGTCTAAATGCAATCTGGCATGTATCTTCATAGCAAAACGTCTGGGCGATGTGAGGCAATTTCTCTATACCTTTTCCAAGATAAATGCATAAATCATTGACCAGCTGCTAGGTTCTGCCTGGGCATCATGAAAGATGGCAACAGAGGGACCATTTACAGCAATAGCACAGTCAATACAAAATGACACAGAGATGTCCACTACCACAGATCTACATGGCAATATCATCTGTTATAATTGCTATAGGCCAAACAATAAAGCAAAGGACTGTTTGTACCAATTTGATAAAGGAATAAACAGGGAATGCATATGTGCTGCTACCAAAACAACAAAGCTGGCCATATGTCTCAAGACTGTTTAAGAAGATACACAGGATAAGACATCAGTGCTGATCACTTCACCAGGCAAGTGGTGAATATGGTTTTTTTATTTATCACTGACTAGACACAATGTTTTGCATCTCCTCTACTTTAGCTGCTCCTGAACAGCAGTAAGCAGGAGACTACAAAAAAAAGGTCAAAATGACTACATTACTGTGGAATCAGGGTGGTTAAGATTCATACAGATGCCTGGAATTTGGCTGAGTTCAATGTCCTGATAGCTCAAGCAAAGATGATAGGCTTCAAGCTTGTTAATGGGATCAACACTATACAAATGCTGGATGGTGTTTACAAATTATTACCATGTATTTTTAGTCTAGGTAAAGGCTCAGACAAAACTGGTGTACAACTAAATTCATAAGATTAGGATGGAATGAGTAACAGGTATTGTCAGCCAACATTTAATTTTATTTAATATGACACTGCTGGGTGATCAGCACCACATAAAAGGATATTTGCCACTTTCTTAGGATGAATGCATCAGCAGGTGACAATAATGGCACATCATCTGATGTATAGGAGATTGTGATAAACTAGAGTGAGCCAGATGACCTTCTGGAAGTAGATAAATCGAATGAAGATGAAGTAGAAGCACAAGCAAGTGACCTCTCCAGGAGAAGAATCTAGCAAAATAAGCCACCATCAGGCTGCATCTACCATGATCAAAAGATTAGCAGATAGGGTAAAGAAGAATGCAGTAGTAAACTACATTGTCAGTAAAACAGCTATGTTGCTGGCATTTTTTTTTTTTGAAGGTCACCAGATTGGCAGAGGCATAAATGCAGGCATGGTTGGTTCAGATATGCAAATCACTTCAACTAATAAATATGTCAAGATCAAGTGAGTGATCAATTGTGCAGTTATAAGCAAGCAAAATGAAAGTATGAAGATTGGAAGCTGCTGAATATCATTGCAAACAACAGAAATGTATGTTCTTACCATTATCTCAGCACAGCATAGAACTACATCAATCTATATCAGTGTATCTTTTTCCTGAGCTTTCTCATTTTTTCTATTATTATAGTGACCAATGATATTTTATGCATGATATAAAGTGCCCACTCATCTCTAAATATTCTAACACTTTCACATCTCATCATAGCTAAAGAAGCTATAATTATGCTTGCTATTAGAGATAATCTCAGAAAATTCCATGACCACAGTTTTTAGGTGGGACTCAAGATTGTCAATTGTTTGTTACATTTTTATTGTTATATTTCATATTTTAACAATTCAAGAGTTTGACAAGATTTTCTGCTCCATTCTTCCTTCTAAATCAGAAAGTGGGTATAACCAAACAGGGAGCCTTGTTGAATGTTGTTTTTAACATTATTTTCACACAATTGCACGATATCAACTGAAGAGAGAAATAGGAAGAAGTTAACACAAAAATCCATTTGCATCATGTCTTTTTTTCTCATCATATGATTAAAGATAGAAAACAGGTGCAACAAGTTTTAACCCAAGTCATGTAAAAAGTGATGCAAAAGGCGCCAAAAACACAAGCATTAAAAAGATAAATTTCTCATAGATATACTTACATTAGTGTGACATTTCAAAACATCTCGGTAGACATTTTTTTCTAGAGGATGAAAAGTAATTGGTAAAGAGTAGCTGGTCCCTGCATTCAAAATAATTGGTTTTGGATACAATGTCGTGAAAAATCTTGATTCAGGAATTCTAAAAAATAAAGCAAAATAAATAATGCAAATTCAAATTTGACAAGAAAAAAAAAACAGACATAAAATCAATCATGTAAATGATAATAGAATTAACTAGAGTTTTAATAGGAATTCAAATGATTTCCTTAATGCCTACATGTCTTAGATTATATATATATATATATATATATATATATATATATATATACATACACACACACACAGAGAGGGTGCAATGCATGTTGCACGAAAATAACACTGACATCTCATTTTAAGATATATTTACCAAAGTTACACAAAAATATCTTGAAATACTAAAGAGTAAATTTATTCAATAAAAATCACCTCTGGCTTCAACCATGGCCTCCAGATGACTTCAGAATTTCCTGCAATTACTTTGGACAGTTTCCTTGTTTAAGTTGATGAATGCTGCCATAATCCTTGTCTTCAATTTTTATTTGGGGTTACAAGGAGTTTTGTTGGTCTCTCACTCAACTGCATCCCATGCATAATAATCAAGGGGATTGCAGTCTGGGGAGTTGGGTGGCCAGGTGTAAGGGATGATGTGGTCGCAGAAATTGTCTAACAGGCATACCTGGGTTCTTCTGCTTGTGTAGCATGGTGCAGAGTCCTGTCACTAGACATAGGGTCTTTCAGCAGCTACCCATCCTCTTGATCCAGGCTAGCACTACCTCCACAAAGCACTTGATGGATGCCTCTGTGTTGAGTCTGACTGAAACCCTCACCAATAAATTTGGGAGTTTTTTCTTATCAGAAAAATCAAAATGAGTTTTCAGAACTGCCTTAGCTACATAACCCTATTGGACTTATCCAACTCTTTATGAATCTTCTGCATCTTCAGATTGAAACTCAAACACTTGGAAATGTTTGTATTGAAAATTTTGGCACGAATGCCAAGCAGTACAGCATGTCATTACAAATTTCTGGCAGAGTAAATTGTATCATAGTGCTGTTTTTCTGACAAACAGTGCCCAACTGATCCTACTATACTGTGCAGATGACAAAATCCATGTGCATGCATGAAATTAAAAATATAAAATGGCAACAATAAATATATTATATATATATATATATATATATATATATATATATATATATATATATATATATATATATATATGAACAGCAAGTTCTATCAAAATTAACTCTATAACAATAAATGAAACTCACTTTAATTAATATGTAAATGACCCTAAAACCTAAGTTGAGGACATGATTTTTTTTTTACATGATATTATTCAGAGATAAAATAACCAAAATGATAGGAAAGAAATTAATCCATTATTTGTACTGTGTTTGTTTTTACTAGTTCATTCCAACACAATACAAGTTATTACAAAATGAATTAACAGAGCATAATTACTGCATCTATTTTGATAAATAAATCATCTTCATCAAATGTCAGAATTGATTGTTGCTTTCTGTATTTTGTAGATTCAAAATTTAACAAGTAAATTTATTTTTAAAAGCAAAACAAGACAACCATGCCAAGAAGAGAGATTGATTTAAATTTCCAACAAAATTTTGTAAAAATTTATATAATTATTAGAAATATTGATTAAATTCTTTTCCCCAAAAACAAAAATACAATTTTTATTGATCTTACAGATATTTTCCCGGAAATGGAAACAATTAGGATAGGGACAATATATTGAATATGGAAAATATGCTTTAAAAAGAGGGTATAAATCTGACAAAGATAGGCATAGCTTTGCATTAGCATTTTAGTTAATTGCAAAGACTGACATTTTCCACCATGATTTTTATCACATATATTTTGTTTTTAAACGAGATAATAAATAGCAAAAATGTCCAAAATAGAATTTCAAATGTTAAAATTGTAAAGTAGACATTTACATCAAAATGCAGGGTATAAAATAACAAAATAAATTTTAATACAAAACAACTATTAATGCTGCATCAAATCTGTTCATTCTTTTGAACAAAAAAAAAAAAAAAAGACAATGAATTTCTCTGAGACAAATGTAGGATTAGAAATAAAATTTAAAAAGATCTTCATTGTTTTATTTCAGGACCCCTTTACCAATAGTTTGATGGTTAGCATACTCATCTCATACACTAATTCACGTTATTGAGTTCGACTCCCTCTAGTTTACTGTGCTTAGCATTGTGTCAGGCAGAGTCAATACTTGCATATTCCATCTTTGTTGCTTAATAGTTATAAATCTAATATATTTTGTCAAAAAAATTTAAACTACATTTATTCAAATTTTATAATGATAGTTAGTTATAACTATAATGCATATTTTCTATAAAATCTGAGAAACTGAACAATATAAAATAAGCAGAGAAATTAATAAAAAAAAAAAGAATTAAAAAAAATTTTTTTCTTTAATCATTTTGAACATTTATTTAATGCAAGGTGATGAAGCAACTAAAAAATAAGGGGTTACAGAGCGTGAATGAAACTTAGAAAACTTTGAAAAGAGAGAGATGATATTAAAAAAAAAAAAAACAGGATTCAAGAAGTCAGAAGATGATGATGATGACTGACATTACATTTAAATTCTTGACAGGAAAGTAAGTTGTGTGTGAAAAGAAACAATTAGAACTTACACTTAGCAATTTCAACAGTAAAATGATTATGCTGCCAATCTAGTAATGTACTTGAAGTTGAGGTACCAAAGAGGAAAGCTCATCAGAATGATTAACATAAAAGTATTTATAGAAAAGCCACAGGAAATATAGTTTATGATAGTGGGGGAAGTGACTGAAGCTAAGATGCCAGGTCAGGATTGATGATATTGCAGATTCTTATTTGGAGTCTATAAACAATCTGTAGATACATATTAGAAGTGTCAGACCAGATGTGGCAGCAATATTAGATGGACAGACGAATGGTAGACTTATAAAGGTGCAAGATAAATTCTGGAAAGAAAAATTGCCTAAAAGAACACAGTGAACTTTCCAGCAGAATTAACAAATGATTCAATATAATCTTTTCACTTAAATAAATGTAGTTGTTTGCTCACTTTGTTTGAAAGAAAATTCTTTGACACATGTGGAAAAGAAGGTGTTTGATTTAATCAGAAATGAATGGAAGAAAAACACAATTGATGCAATATTTGAACTAATAAAAAGCATAACAAATGGCTGACAAGATTCATTAGTGAGGCCATCAATACCATCGCAGAATTTATTTCTCATATACTATAGGATACACATTTACTATTTCTGATTTTCCTCAGAAAATTTAACTACATTTAAAATTTAATAAATTCATATTCTCTTGGTATCGGTTTAAACTTATGCTTTTTTTCCAAATATTGTGACCATCTTGTTTACCATTTGCATTTTCTCCAATTTCAAATGAAAACTCATGTTTAACAACATATTCAAGCAAAATATTCATTATTCAATATTAGAATTTATAATTATAGTTTAGATATCAACAGATTCCTAAGGATATGAGTTAAAAGTATCAACTAAAGTTCTTCAGGCACTTTTTGATTTTTAACTGATATTGTAATCCTCTCAATAAAACCAATGATGAAAACGAGCAGTTCTATTCTTCAGAAAGAATATAAAGAAAATATAGTTTTTCTCTTCAAAGAAATTCCTTTCATTTGATGGAATTAAAAAGAAACTTTCACTTTTTATCAGACAAGTGTGTCAGAGCAAGAAAATTCTGGAAATTGGCAAGATTGCCAAGATCATTTTCAGACTGATGCAATTTTTCAAATCATCTTTTATCAGTTCAATTTTCCATCTTTCTTTCCTGTATATCTTCCATCCAATATCAGTCAATTCCAAAACCAATTCCTTGTTTTTGCCAATCATTATATCAACTTTTATCCCCGACCACTCACCTACACACAGGTCCAAAGCTATTTAGATCATCTTATGAGTGCACCTAAGTGCAATATGATAACCAATGATAAAGTGCAATAAAAAAAAATATTCAAATTGCCATCTCCTTTTACATAATCAGTGAGATACTTTAAATCCAATCATAAATCTTTGTCCTATTTTCAATTTCTAATAACAAATTTGATGGCCATATTTAAGTATGCATAAACTTGCATATTTCTTTCTTCTTTGCACAGTGAAAAGCTCTCAGCTACCAACACACCAAGATATCAATTTATCATTTCACTTTTCCAGCCCAATGTTTCAGACAGACTGACAACTGTCAATTCTTGATTGATAAAAATATTTTCATACATAATAAGTTGTAATAAAGTCCATTAAAAATCTTCAACAATTTTTTAACATTTTATGTTTTTGGAAGGACACTGAACAAATAAATAGGTACTAAAATCAGAATAATAAAAAGAATATAAAAAAAAATGACAGATTATAAAATATAGACAGCCAAAATAGAAAAATGATGACAATGAAATATCAGGAAAAAAAAAAAAAAAAAAAAATAATTTGTGAATTCAGTAAAAGCTATAATCAAAGTAATAGTTTCCAAAGCCAAGAAATCACTTTCAATTTCCTATCAATAAAATAATATTCAAATTCATACAATGCCTAAATATAAATGATTCATTCTTTTTCTCAAATATTATACAATCAGCTTTTTCAGATTCTAAGAAAACCAATTTTGAAATCTTCCGGAGGCCTTAAATCAATGTACAAAAATATATTTTTGTCTACAAATTTTAATGTTAACGTAATTGATCACATATTAATAAGTTTGCCATTTCCTCTGAATTCAGTTCTGATTTTAATGTGAGACTGATAGTATGATTTCATTGTCAGAATGGAGATTTTCTCTATATTTGTAAAAAGTAAAATTCAATTCTTCAGTATAATAATGAAAATAATTTTATATTTTGGAAATTGAATTTTGAAATTCATTTTGCTCTGGCAAAGCTTATTTTCACTTCAAGAATGCAAAGAATTTGACAATGAATAAAACAAATGTTTTTTGGTTGTTTTTTTTTAAATGAAGAAAATTAGTGTAATTCCTACACAAAGGGTTAAATAAGTTGGCAAAAATCTCCATGAACTTAAACTTTTATATGCTTG